TTCATCTCCATTCTTTTCTTTTTTAAATTCTCTAACAGAATTATTGTTTTTCAAATATATAGGATTTGGACTAAAGTGTGAAGTGCAGGAATTGGAAAATAAATATAAATGTAGGCTGTTTTGTTGATATTTTTATAAGCACAACAAACAAATAGGACAGGATGCAGATTTTAGTTCTGCTATGTGTAGATTAGTCTGCAGCTGTTATTTTTTTTTTGACTGAATCACTGAGTATATTTAAGAGAATAAAGTGTTTCCTTCATCTGTCCCATAACTAACTTACTTATCCTTAACTTGGTGATAGTACACTCAAATCTTTGTTTTGGTTATATTTCTCTAGTGATGATGTAGCATGTTCCTCCCAGCCTTCAGTGACCACTGATATTCTGACTTCTGTGTTTATTCTTCTTCTGTTACTTTATGGTTTACTACCTGAACTACTTACATGTTCCTATGACTTTAGCCTGAGTACTCTTGCTGAGTTCTAGATTCATGAATCTAGCCGACTTTTGCACATATCCAGGTACTATTCTGACACCTAAAGTTCAATGTGTATAAAACTGAATTACTTGTGCTTTGCCTTCAACCAATTAATTTTCCCTTTGCACCTTAGTCTTTGATCTTTTACTTATTCTTATTGATAGTATCTTTCCTATAATCCTATATTTTATATAGAAATCCCTCCTTTGTAAGGCTCTCTCTAGTATGCTAGAATTATTTTGGAAAATTTCTGAACCCTGTCTTTGGGGTCTAGGAAAAACCATCTGACTTTTGTTTGGACACCAGGTTTTACCTCCCTGATTCCATATCTGCAAAAGTCCTTCAAGGATTTACAGCATATAGAGTCAGACATCATGGAGCAGGAGAGAGAACCCAAGAAGGGGGATCCAGGAAAAGAAGAGGTTTTAACAACAGAATGACTGAAGGTTCAAAAAAGGGGAAAATAATGGGAGTGATTTCTGACAAAAGAAGTGAGCAAGAGCAGGGAGCTATTTCTCATATTATTTAATATTTCTTTTTACTTAGTTTCCTTATGGTTATTCCCTTGTCAGAAGCACATTTTTTAGGAATATGATTGATATGGAGTTTGGGGACTTCCACAGGTTCTGACCATATTCAGCAGAGATGTTTAGTTAGTTCACATGCTCCTAATCAGGTTCATGGTCAGGGAGTAGTGTAATGCAAAACACCCTAAAGGATCATTACCAGATTTCATATCTAACACTTTTCCAACTTATTCAGCAATTATCTATTACATGTCTAACAGAGGGCATTGTGTTTCTTGTTATAACCAATTTATCTCATGGCTAAATGTAGGAAGGAGCTCAAGAAGTTATGTTTATTCCTTCTTGGCTCCAAATTAATTTGCCATGATCCACTTCGCCTAATAAGTGCTACCATGACACAACATGCAACAGACTATGTGAAAATAAAACAATAAAGGATATGATATGGAGAACAAGAGACTGATTTGCCACACCACATTTGGATTGTTGGCATATTCAGTCTTGGCCATTTCTTGTGTAAACAAAACCTTTCCGTTGGTAGCATGACAACTGAATGATAGAAAACCTTATTTTTAACTTAAACCTTCCCACCCCCCCCCCTTTGGACTTGGGTTGCTGATGAAAATATTCAGCAAACTAATTAAAGGTAATTTAAATAGCTAATTAGATAATGTTAGAAAGTAGTTTCCTGTAATACATTCCTTGAAACAAAGCATCCATCATCTGCAGAGTACAGTTTGTCACTAACTGAAACAAAAGCAATTACATGTTAAATGGAAGAAAGTTTTGACAAATTAACTCTGATCTTTGTAAAAATTGCCATATACATAACACTTGTATCACTCTTACATAAAAAAATACATGGGAAATTTGGATTTCCACATTTCAGTTGACTTTGCATCTGTCTAGTGTCTGGTTCTAAATGATATTTTTGACAGTGAAGACCCAGATTAAAGCTATGTCAGTGTTTTGACAAAATTGACTGATGAGTTTAATCATCTGAATTGTCCACTTAGTCAAACAAATGCTTTGACAGTGTGATTTACTTATATGTTGTTTCTTTGTTCAATTAGCTTGTGTTTTTAATTTAATGGACTGGTTAAATCAACATAATAAGTCCATATGAATGCAATGTTTGGAAGCTATTTCAAAGTGATTTTATTTAAATAGTCATATCAAAGTTAAGAAATAATCTTCTTCAACAAATGTACAGAACACAGTATAAAGCATCTGAAAACTGTGATTTTAAGGACTTTGAGGGGAAAACAAAAACACCTCTATGACTCTGAACTAAATAAATCATGGAAACTGGATTCCTTAACTGAAATATTTTTATTATTCAAAGATTCCACTATGTAAGAACTTTAAATGAAAATGTCTTCATCCATGAAAATAGAATCTTTGTATTAAAAAAGATTTTAATCTCTAATTTTTGAATGAAAAAATATTGATTTGTTTTTTCTAAATATTATTTTAAAATTGAGAATGATTTGAATATATATCACAAAACAAATCAATATTTTCTGTTTCAAATGAAAACATTTACAGTTATAAAATATCTTTCTCATCCGTCCCTTTTTTGCCTCTCTTCTTTTTCCTCTCTTGTCCTTCTTTTGCATCTCATACTTAGTAAAAAACAAAACAAACAAAAAAGAACAACACATGAAAACTTGCATATATTTATTTAAATGCGTATTTTATGTATGTGTGCATTACTGAGTTAATTTACAACTATCAATGCAAATTTAATCTATCACACATGTTTCTCCATAATTGATTCTCTTATATGGAGATCAACTTTTGACAGTTGGTAAATTCTTCACTTAGTTTCAGTTATATGCTTTGAAAGAAGTCTTCTTGAATTTTTACAACATTTAAATATTTTGTTTTGTTCCATTAATGTGATGGCATTGTTCAGTCTTAGAATGGGAGTCTTCAACTGACATGAAAAGATAGAATTTTCTTTATAAAAATTAGCTATATATGTTTATTAAACATTCTAAAATGAAGCAACAAGCTAGGAAAAAAAAAAAAAGAAGTTGCCACAAATGGAGAGGACAGATGTTTAGCTTCCTTGTTATACAAAGAAGTTTTGCAAAGCAAATCTTAAATGTAAGTCAGCAATTCAGATGAAAGAAAAATAAAGGTTAAAAACATGAAAATATACTCTGTTGTACAATAAAGCTGTAAGTTTAAAATAGATATTACACTTTTGTTCTTTATCCAAAAGACAAAATTCAAAGGCATTGATAATGTTTAATACAAAATGAAAACTATTACTGGTGAAAGTAGACATTTTTATTTTTATTTTTTCAAATTAGTTGATAATTTCCAAATTTGAAATGTGTTTTACTCTGACATATTGATTTTTTTTCAGAAATATGCCACAAATACTTAAATCATTATATTTTTTTTCCAAAATATTTCAGCTAAGATACATTAATCCTTATTTATAATATTAAAAAACAAATTACTGAGTTCTTCATAAATGCTGATAAGTATAGGATAGGCTAATGTGTAGATATTCTAAGGTACCATTAAAATGAAGAAAATAACATCCAGAAGTCAAAATATTCCACCCTATATAATTAGCCTTACAAATAAAATAATACATTACAAATAATAATCAAATAATATGTTTATAATGTCTAAATTTACCTGAGTAAAACACAATATCAAAAGAGGTGGGAAGAAACATACAATTTCAGTTTTTGTTTGGACAATTAATTTTATCTTCACCACAACTAATTTCTGCCAAGGGCCAATGTCTCAGCTTGGCACCAGAATCACGAGCCATCACACACCTTTGTAGGTTCAAACAGCAATTCTTTATTCCTGCTCTCACACCGCCTCCACACAGGTCCAGGGACAATCACGTTCTGCCGTCTCCCGCACAATTCACCTACTCCACGAGGCTCTCTCCAAATCCCATTTTAATCTCACGAGAACTCAACGGGAACAAGCAGCAGGAACACCCTAATCCCAGCAATAATCTTCAACTTCCAACTTCCCTAAAACCCATTATCTTAAACTGGCAACGCCTTAAACTCAAGGAGCCGGTTACTTCCTCAAACCTGATCAGCTCTAAACCCGGATCCGCCTTGGTCCTAGAGCAAGGTCACCTTATTAAAGCATGCATGCAATGTCCCATCGAATGTCCTCTAAGCAGCATGGGGTATGCTTGGCAAGGAAATTTCGATGCGTCATTCCTACTTGGTAATGGCCCTCAGCAAATTTCCTCTTGACAGATGGAGAAAGAGTGTGGAGAGCGAGATATAGGAAAACATAACTTTTCTCAACAAAAATTTCTACTTTCTTAATGGAAGAGCATGTATTATTTATAAATTAATTCATAAAATTTATCAATTATGTGAATTATCAAGCAATGGAATTTTTTTAAAAAAACATGTTTTAATTGTAAATGATCCTTTATTTTATTTTATATATGGTGCTAAGAATCAAACCCAGTGCCTCACACATGCTAGGCAGGTGTTCAATACGTGAGCCACAACCCCATCCTCAAACAATGGAACTTTAAAAAATTGATAAATAGAGTACTTAAATATGTATTTTTAAAGTCAGGAGCAGTGCAATTTTGGGTTGATTTTTTTTTTTTTAAGAAAGGAACACCATAAGAGTGAAAGAGAAAAAGAAAATAAAGACCTCTTAATTTTATCTGAATATCTTACTCTTCAAACTGTATTAATATTTCTACATAGTCCACTTCGCACACAAGCAAAGTTTTAGTAGGAAATTCAGAATGACTTTTTTCTCACTTATTAAAAAGAAATGCGATAAACTTTTAAGAAATAAATGTAAGATTTTTCAAAATCTTTCTTTCAGTTAATGAAAGGGGAAATATTCTATTTTTACTAAAATTATGAATCCTCTCTGTGGTGTTTCTTGTGTTAGTTGACCCCAAGTCTTGGGAAGGCAGCAGGTGCTTGGCGCCCTTCACTACTAACCGTGTGCTTTCTTCCTCCTCCACTATAGCTTTCAGCAGAGCCCCAATCCCAATGGCAGTGGTCCGCAGAGAGCTCTCCTGTGAGAGCTACCCCATCGAGCTCCGCTGTCCAGGAACAGATGTCATCATGATCGAAAGTGCCAACTATGGGAGGACTGACGACAAAATCTGTGACTCCGACCCTGCTCAGATGGAGAATATCCGATGTTATCTGCCAGATGCCTATAAGATTATGTCTCAAAGGTATGGTATCTTTAATATTCTGTTCTTGGCACGTGTAACATAAACCTTTAAGGGGCACCAGTGTGACTGTGAAACCTGGGTAAAGACATCAGCAGTGTTGTATGTTTCATGATAATCTGAGACAGCATCTAAGTAAAATTTATTACCTTGTTCATTACGTTTCTTGCTCTAATCTGCATATTATTTTGATAGAGTTCTCTACAACTTGGTTATTATACCAGTGATGAAAGATTTTTTTTTACAATTTCAACCACAGTTTTCTCCAAAGAGTGCAGAAATATTCTTTGTTAATAATTATTTTCTAATCATGTAAAAAAGCGGAATAAAAATTAAATTAATACGTCATTTTTGTAATTAGTGAATATATAAAAAATATTGATGAATGATTTTTCACCCTAAGTAAATTGTTTTTATTTGTTTCAATCAGATAATCAAATATAGAAATCTGTAGAATCCCTTGGGGTGGGGTTTAAGGAGGAGGTTCTACATTTCTGTGATTAGGTTTTCATTTAAATGTAGCAGAATTTTAACTTCATTAGCTATTTGATCTCTATAAGATTCTCACGGAAATTGTGTTAATTATTTTGCTGATACTGTTAAGGCCATCCAAAATAAGTCCTTAATCTTAATCTTGTAATTATTGGGGGGTGGGGAGAGAAGACAGACTCAGTTTTGGTGGATCCTCTGGACCTGCTGAACTGTACAGGATACATACCTGAAATGATGAATCTGGAGAGTAAAAATACTTTCAATACCCTCAGTAAATCCCTTGAGTAAGCCCTCCCAGTGTATTTAAAGTTAGAGTTAGTAGCTAACTTAAAAACTATTTAATTCTACATCAAAGCAAGTTCCTTGCTTGTTCTTGATCTATTCATGTTCTACATTTTCACTTTTTCAAAATATGTGTTTTTGACTCTCGGGAAAAAGAAATTGGCTCCACATTGTGGAATGGCCAAAGTTACCTAAGTTGCTTTATAATGAACTTAGTTTTAAATATTTATGTCAACCACAGCATGTTAGATAATGTTAATTATTACTATGATACATATAAGCCATAATAATAGTAGTTTGGACAGTTTAATTAGATTAATGCTTTAAAATTGAAACCATAGAAAGCAAATTTTCTAAACAATATTTTTGATTAATGTGATTATTTTAATTTAAAATTCTAGAAAGAGACTATCAGGATCTACATATATTTAAGCATGAATGATTATAACTAAATACAAAAAGTGATTAATATTAATATACTCTGATATAATCTTGATAAAAATGTTTTATAACTTTAGTCTCATACATTAGATAGTGACAGGTAATGCAGATGTTTTAATATACATTGAAAATGTACTTAGACTGCATACTAATATGTAAACTAAGAATGAAAAATTTGGAATTGGGATTAATAGGTTATAGCACTGGATGCCAATACTTGCCTGCAATAGAACTATCCAATCTGATATCTGTTCAAGATGATCCATGTCACCACTGAATTTAAGATTGCATTATTGTGGGGCTTCAAGTGTAACTTAGTAGTAGAGCATGTGCTTAGCATGCACAAGGACCTGGATTCAATCCTCAGCATAAACACTCTCCTTATTACATTGAAACATAATGAAACCTACATTATCAACCAGTTATCCTTTGTTTAAAGTAGATTGTAGGCTTCTACAAAACAGATCTTCTGTTAGAGTTACCTAAAACCATCTTTGAATGTATAAATGAAAAACTATGCTCTTATTCATTTTCATATCTATAAAAAGCTTTCTTGATTCTGCTGAAGGTTTCTGTTTATTTTTTATGTTTTACTTTAATATATTTCTGAGATAATTTTTAAAAATATTACATATAGCTTTATAACCTAAATGTGAAACTGACTTAGCAACTCAATAACTTTAGAAACTTTACATTTGGAATTCATCTTAGGTTTCATATTATGTTCAGCCTATTCATGGAAGTATTTCGATTATTAACTCAGCTGACACCAGAAAGTGCCCGGCATGCAGTTCATTATGACACTTTACTTGGGTTTGATAGATAAATAAGACACACATGGTTTCTGCCTACAACTACTCTTTGATGGATTAAAAGCAACCAATTGTATCATTTTCAGAACAATTTATTTTGATCTCATTTATATTATTGAGGCAATCAAAGGAAGAATTTCTTTCAGCAATATTATATTAGGGAATATTTTGTTGGACAGGAAATATTAGAGTTGGTCCTTGAAGGACACAGCATTAGTAGAACAAGAAGAGAACAAATGATCCTACATATGTAAGTTAAGAAACACTAATGAGGAACACAAGGGAACAGTTTCCTTCCTGTATCCTTTGACCTATGTTTTCCTGACACAGCTCCACAGGTTCACTGATGTCTTCTGTGAATGTACTACCACTTAATCTCCCGAAATTCTCTTCCAAATTTGCCACAGGTTGGGCTCAAGACCCTTTTCCCCCCAAAACCCTCTCTTTAGGTCAGAAAACTTGGTATTGCTGGATGATACACTAGTTTGATGAATTTCCTTGTTCAAACAAAAAAAATCTTCCATTGGCATCTGTATTATAAATTAAACTTAAGTAATGTCTAAATATAGGAAATTTGAATATTCTATATGGTGACCTTCTCATATTTTTTATGACACATGTAAAATACATGGCCCATTTAACTTACATATAATTGATTATATGTTTCAAATTGATAAAACATTTGTACACACACTTGTGTGTTATGTGTCTATATATAATTTTGTATTAAGACATATATACATAACACTATCAGGTATCATATGTGTACTCCTCAATGAATTTTCACAAATAAGGTTCATCATGTAACTAGCAACCAGATGAAGACAGAACATTAATGGGCTCTCAGAAGTGCTTTGATCAGTCATACCCCTACCCCAAGATTGCCAGGTTCTAATTTTGTACAACCTAAATTAGTTCTGCCCATTTTTATTTTAATTGAGTGGTTTCATATAGCATATGTTTTTGTGTCTGGCTTCTCTCACTCAATTCATTCATGAGGCATTGACATAAATATGTCCCTTACCTTTTAAATTCTCTTAGAATCAAAGATCATGAATTTAAACATTTATAAAATTCTTCCTTTATTTTTATTTTTAATTTTTAAGTAGAGATGTAAATTTATAAAGTAGAATTTATTTTCTATTGTTTTCTATGTGGATGCTAGAACTAATAGTTTTCTTTTGGTTTTAGCAATATTTTAGTAATATTATATTTCATATATGGTAGTCACATCAGGAATAGGCAATGAAAGAGAGAGATTTGTTTCTTACCCTTTTGAAAAGTTGTATTTCAATTTGTATCAGTAGCATTGCAGGGGATTTTACAACTTGCTTACAAAAGATTTGGGTTTCTATTGTATTTATTCCTGATAAAAATAGGTACTCTTCAAACAATAGTAGAAGTAGTGCCCATAGTAGTTTTGTGGCAGAACTAAGTGTTCTGCAACATCTGCATGAGTTTTTCCATTCAAGTATTCTCCTTTGCTCTTTGACAGATCCATTGCATTATGTGTTGTGTTTCTCTTAAAGATTATAACACATTGTAAAATCCTCATGGTAATAATTTGTCTTCTGAGTCCATATAGCCATTAATAAGTGGCTATATGGACTCAGAATAAATAAAATAAATTTAACAAATAAATTTAACAAAATAAAACTAAAAAGAACTACTTTGATAGATTCACCTTGAAGTTAGTCATATTTCATATTTGATTTTGAAAACATGAAATTAAAGTTTATTCATTTATAGTAAATGCTCACTGCTATTGTTTTCTACCTTCAGCTTTTTAGATAATTTTATACCCTCCAGTCAGTATCTAGAAAGTTGAGATGCAGAAAATATTTATAAGAAATCAACTAGAAAGAAAAAGAAGTTTCTCAATGTTAGAGGATATAAGATGAAAACACTAAATTAATTCCTTGAGAATATAATGTGATTTTAATTTGGTTTATCCCTCAAGGGTCTGTAAATTGGGAGCTTGGTCCCCACTGTGGCAGTATAGATGCAAGGTCTTCAGGTCTTTGAGGCCTTGTCCACTGAAGAGGTTAAGGATGCTCTCCAAAGGTGGTTATAAAAGCCCAAGCTTGAGTCTGGTCTGTTTGTGCATGCCCATAATCCCAGCAGCTCTGAGGCAGGAGGATCACAAGTTCAAAGCCAGCCTGGGCAAAAAGTGAGGCACTATGCAATTTGGTGAGGTCCTGTCTCTAAACAAAATACAAAATAGAGCTGAGGAGGATGTGGCTCTGTGGTTGAGTGCCCCTGAGTTCAAACCCTGGTGAACTTCTACCAAAAGAAAGCCCAAGTTTGATCCTTCAGCTTACCGTCTTCCTGTGTTTTTTGAAATTGAAATCTGATTATCTATTTCTGCATGTGTTCCCACCTTTGCCATCCACAAAGAGATGATAGAGCTGAAAGGGCCCTTGCTGGATAAACAAATCTATTTTTTTTAATAAATAGGCTTCTACAGGTATTTTGTTGTAGTAAAAAAAAAAAACAAAAACAAAAACTGACACATACAAGTTAACTTATCCAAATGAAACAAATCTAAGCATATTATGAACATGAAATCCATTACTTATTAATTGGGTAGCATTGGACTTTGGTGAAAAAGAAGTTATAGTGAGATTTAGCAGACTTGGTAAGTAAATAGCTGGCCTTTTGCCTGAGTTTCTCTCTAATTAAAATAATTTTAAAGATAGCTTGGGGGTATGGGGAGGATTGGATATCAAAGAATTCTGACTCCTTTTCATTTTTTAGGCCTAATGTTTATTGTTTATATTAAATTATTTAATCCACACAGACAAATATTATTGTATGCAATTCATTGATGAGGAGATGGAGTTGTATAGTGTTTAAAAAATTTTCTTGAAATTATTATTTCGACTGAATCTTTTTTTTTATTGTTGGTCATTCAAAACATTACATCTTTCTTGATATATCATATTTCACAGTTTGATTCAAAAGGGTTATGAATTT